TCTCTATAACGTTATATGCAAATTATGATACTTTGCAATTCGATTTCTTTGTAGGTCACTATTCCTAAGGGATGATTACTTTTGCTTTTAGAATTATTTTTATTTCTCAAAACTTTTAAATTGAATTTTAGATTAAAATTTATATCGAAATTTTTATTGCTTTTCTTTAAATTTTTCATCATAGATATATTTTTTTTTTTAGATTACTTATTTCAATATTGCAATATTAAAATGTTCTATTACTGATTTTTATGTAGATTGGGAGCAGGATTTGTAGATTATTTTTATAAAAGAAGATTAAAATTTTAAAATCTATAAAAAAATGTATATAAATTGAATTATAATATTTATTGGTATATATTAATTTATTTATAGAAATTATTAATTCTTCAAATTTTAGGTTAAAACCTGTATAAATATATAAAAATTTCGATTATAAGATTTTAAATTTTATAAAAAATGAATTCATCATTATCTTATTGTACGTAATTATTTTCTTTTATCTTCATTAATTCTTTTCTGATTAAATAAATAATTCTGATTAAAAAAAAAATAAAGTTACTTTTTATATAAAAAGAATTAATTCCATATTGATTAAATGTTTTTTGCAATTCTTGACAGTACTATGAACAATTAAAATTGAGCCAATATTCAATTTCTTTTCATAAGCTTTTATTTCCAATGAGATTTCTATGCAACCGATTTTTAAAAGAAAATCCCTTGTCTCAATATTTAATGTCTCAATATTTAATGTCTCTTTCAGAGAAAAATATCTAAGAAGCTTCCTTGATTTTACTAACAAATTCAAGGCAAAATATGCTTTTATCTTTTTATCTATAATTATTTTTCGTTCTTCGTATTCAATATTTTTTTTATAAAATCATATTATTTCGTTTTATATTCTCGTCAAAAATAAAAAAGTCTTATAATTGAATAAATATATTATTTATAATTATTTATAAAAAGAACATAATTTAAAAAAATAATACATTTTAAAATAAAGATATTCATCATTCTTTAATTGATATCAAATTTCTTAAAAAAAAATACGTATATAACACAAAATAAGATTTTTAAAATTAAATTTTTTTTTGCAATATATTTATTAAACGATAGATCTTTGTAGAATAATTTTATCTGGAAAAAAAGAATTCTCCACAGATGTTCGTGACATAAACAGTAGCCATTTTATTTTCCATCATGAATCATAAACTTTTCTTGGACAATATTTTCTTTAATAGCAGAAATGTTATAAAGGGCTGATACTAAATATCAGAAAAATTCTATTTTAAATTATATAGAATTATATTATTTCATTTTATATCACAATCTATACATTGAAGATCGATGCAATGTTTTTTTTGTTACATATACAATTACATATACATTACATATACAAATACTTTTTTAAAATAAAATAATGAATTCGATACATTCATCAATATTTCTAATATTATAACTGTAAGACGAATGTAAATTAATTTAAATCTCATATTTCTTATATAAATCATTTTATATTATGCCAATATTACATAACCATAAAATTATCGAAATTAGATTATTATTTTTTCATAATACGTATATTTAAATAACATAAAAAAGTGTAAAAATTATTTTCGTTAATCAGGATCTAGCAGAAATAGAGAAAGAAAAGGGAGATGGAGATTATGAGACTATATACGAGCAAACGGATGGCACGACCACACCCCCATCAACTGTAAAAAGTAGCGATCACGTAACTAGAATATATGCTTGCGCGACGATGTGGCACGAAAATAAGGAAGAAATGATGGAATTTTTGAAAAGTATTCTTCGATTGGATGAGGATCAATGTGCACGACGTGTAGCCCAAAAATATCTGAAGGTTGTCGATCCGGATTATTATGAATTTGAAAGTGAGTGTATAATTTTGTTTTTTTTAATAAGGTGTAAAGCAAAATAATATTATCAAATAATGGAAATTGAGATTGGATTAATTTCAAGATATATATTTTTTTAAATTAATTTTATTATGTAATCATTTATTTTTTTTTATTTTAATTTTATCATTTATTTCTTTTTAGCTCACATCTTTTTCGATGATGCCTTCGAATTATCGGATCACGATGAGAACGAGTCGCAAGTGAACAGGTTCGTGAAATTATTGGTGGGCACTTTGGATGAGGCTGCATCTGATGTCCATCAAACACGGATGCATGTTAGGGCACCAAAGAAGTACCCAACACCTTACGGTGGTCGATTAGTCTGGACACTTCCTGGTAAAACGAAAATGATCGCCCATTTGAAAGACAAGAGCAAGATTCGTCACAGAAAACGATGGAGTCAAGTAATTTTGTTACGAAAATTATACGAGATTCTCAAGAAATTTTTTCACTTCAATATTTAAATTTTAAGAAAATGATTTAAGATTTAGAAATCATCAATATTAAAAAAAAATTAGTATATATATATATATATATAAAAGCAAATAAAAATTAATTCTGAAAAAATTTCATAGAATGAATTTTTATGTAATTTTTGAAAATTCATAGCAATCTAATATTCTGATGATTCTAAAGTAACTTTATATTTTAAATTTTATAAATAATTTAAAAAATATAGAGTATTTTAATATTAATACTCAATAATTTTAAAAAAATTTACAATGTATAATATATTTCTACACATACAAATTTGATATAAAATTTTTTATGCTTTTACATGTATGTAATTCATTTATATAACGTTTCCAATTTTTTTCACATTATTATATATATTTTTTCTTCAGGTCATGTACATGTATTACTTATTGGGTCATCGGTTGATGGAGCTACCAATCAGCGTTGATCGGAAGGAAGTGATCGCGGAAAATACTTATCTGTTAACTCTCGATGGTGATATTGATTTTCAACCAGCTGCTGTGAAATTACTCGTTGACTTGATGAAGAAGAATAAAAATCTTGGCGCAGCTTGTGGTCGTATTCATCCAGTTGGTTCAGGTAATCTTCGAAAAATAATTTTCAATCGAATTTTAAAAAATGACATAATAAATATCTATATAGTATATTTTAAAACTGAAAAAATAATTTTTCATAATTGTATTAGGTCCTATGGTGTGGTATCAAATGTTCGAATACGCTATTGGTCATTGGCTGCAAAAAGCAACGGAGCACATGATTGGTTGTGTGCTTTGTAGTCCTGGTTGTTTCTCACTTTTTAGGGGAAAAGCTTTAATGGACGATAATGTGATGAAGAAATACACGACAAGATCAGACGAGGCTAGACATTATGTGCAATACGATCAAGGGGAAGATCGATGGCTTTGTACACTTCTCTTACAACGTGGTTACAGAGTATGTATTTAAAAGATCTCTAATATGTTTTTTTCTTTATCAAATATAATAGAATTTATTTGAATGATCGATTACCCGAACATAGAATGAATTATCACGAATATATTTATTTAAATTATATATTTATTTTCTAATAAGTAATAGACTTAAAATAATTTTTAAACTAATTTAAAATCTTTAATATTATTAATAAAGATCTTATAAGCAATATTTTTCCAGAAATAAATATCTATTGCGTTTATTTAACCTTAAAATTCGATTAAACTCTATTAAAATTAGGAAAAATTTAAATCGCTATAACTTTGAAGATAATAATTTCTGAACAATAAATAGAAGATCATTAGAAGTGTGGAATCTTGCCCTTTAAAACGCTCTTTCATTTATCTCGATATGACTTCCGGTTCCAGAGATATCGTTGTATAAAAAAAAAAGTTTTCGTCATTTATTATTTATCCTCGTCATTTCAAATCTCTCCCTCGCACCTTGTCTCACTGATCTATCCCAAACTTCAGACAAACGACAGACGCGATTCCTGGAAATGCATACTACGTATATATGCGTACGTTTTTCCAGAAAAAAATGTAAGTCACTAGATCGCTATCCCATTCATAATCTTTGCGCTAATTCAAACATTATGGAAAGTTTGAGTCTTTATATCTCGACAACCGATTGAGATATCGAGATAAATCAAAAAATAATTTCAAAGGCATAGTTCTCTCTATTTTCTGAATTTCGATGGCAAATTTTTTTAGTTTTTTTTTCATATTTTTTACGTGAGAAATCTAAGTATATGGTTTTTTGATTGCAATAGTCGTGATGTTAAAGTATATAAAAATTTATATTTATTTAATTTTACAGTTTTATATTTATTAATACGAATTTGTAAAAATCATTATGCTCTTTGTTGTTTTATATTCGTTCGTACTTAGAGATATTTTCATTGAGAATTTCTAATTGTTAATAATTAAAAAACAAAATTGAAAACACTTTGAATATTTTTATTTTTGATTTTTGATTGCTATATTTTGATTTGAGAAATTACTTCTTAAATTTCTAAATATCTGTAAGATTTTATAATATTTTATTAATATTATAGGTAGAATATTCAGCAGCTAGTGATGCTTATACTCATGCACCTGAAGGCTTCAATGAATTTTATAATCAACGTCGTCGATGGGTACCCTCCACCATAGCCAATATCATGGATCTTCTGATGGACGCAAAACGGACCATTAAAATCAACGATAATATTTCTCTCCCCTATATTTCTTATCAAATCTTACTCATGGGTCAGTTATATATATTTTTTAAATATTACTTTTCATTTGATTGATATTTTTTTCATTATTAAAATTTTTATATAATTTCTAAATTTTATCTATATTTCTAAATGTTATAAAATTTTACTCTTATCCTCTAATTCAATCGGATCATTAAATTAAATAAAAAATAAATAAATAAATCCAAAAATTACTTATTTATCGTTATTTTTCCAGGTGGTACTATTTTAGGACCAGGTACGATTTTCCTCATGTTAGTAGGTGCCTTTGTGGCTGCTTTTAAGATCGATAACTGGACCAGCTTCTACTACAATATCATTCCCATTCTCCTCTTCATGCTCATATGTTTTACTTGTAAAGCGAACATTCAAGTAAGTTTATCCATCTATATATAAACCAGCTTTATCGCTTTGATCGTATTTGCAATTTCTTTTTTTTTTTTTTCGTGCCCTTGTCTTTCAGCTTCTGTGCGCGCAGATATTATCGACAGGATACGCGATGATAATGATGGCCGTCATCGTAGGTACAGCTCTCCAGCTCGGAGAAGACGGTATCGGTTCACCCTCGGCCATATTTTTGATAGCCTTATCCGGTTCCTTCTTTATAGCGGCCTGTTTACATCCACAAGAATTCTGGTGTATCGTACCCGGCATCATTTATCTCCTTTCGATACCTTCTATGTACCTTCTTCTTATCCTCTATTCGATCATAAATTTGAATGTCGTCTCATGGGGAACTCGCGAGGTCCAAGTGAAAAAGACCAAAAAGGTTCGTTCAAAATTCATCTGCTACATATTCAAATTTTTCTTTCTCTTATTCGTATTTCAACACTAGAACTATCAAATTTATGCTGAATGAAAATATGACAGATTTTGTATTTTTTAAAAATTATCGAGAACAGTTAGCTTAATATTATGTAACATACAAATATTATTGCTACTAGTATGATAATTTGAATATTTGACGATTAAAAAATTACGTTGCATTCTTTGTCATTTTGTCACAATTGTAGTTATGCTAAAAAGTTCATAAAAATATTCGAGGCATTGGAATAGAATATTATGTAAAAAAGAAACTGGGTGAAACTAGCTCAGGGAAAATTTATGGCAGATACTTGGACTGCGTTACTGACAGTAAGCTACTGTAAGTGAGGATCTGTACATACCTAGTAATAGTTTGTGATATAGTTATTGGATATCAAAAGTTTGATCGTCCAAAACAAAGATTTACAGCTTTTTTATCTCACGACACTGCTATTTATTAATAATATATTTAATTTTACGATACATAAAAGAAAAATATTTTTTGATCAATCTAACAAAAATGTATTATTGATTTACAAAAAATAGTAATATCAAGATTTTTATATATATATTTTTCCCATTATGCATCAAATAATACTTAATTTTATGTTATTCTTGAAAAATATTTTTTTAAAACTATTATTTATGATTCATTTATGATATTTCTAATAATTAAAACTACTAATAGTCATAGTTATTTATTATTTATTTCTAATTTAACATGCAAAAATATCATTTTGATTTCTAGTCAATATGTTACAAATAATAAATAATTCGTTGTTCTAGTGCTGATTTAATGGAAAAATAGAAAGAAAAAATTAGCTTGATATTATAATAAGTATTGATTGTAAATTTATCGTGATATTATTGAATAGGAAACTTATGGTGATGGTAGATCAAAAGGCATGTATCGAAAACGATTCTTCAGAGTGGCAAGTGCTTTTATTTAATTCCACGCACAAGTCACAATACAGCTTTTTTCGTCTGCAAATGTATGTTCTAACTTGTTTGCAAAGAAATAGATTTATATCAATAATATATTGAGGATACACTCGTAGATATTGTGATATGTATATATTTTTTAAAATATGTAATACCAAAATAAACCTTTTTAAACTTTTCTAGATATGCATCATATTGCATGTCTCATCATGTTTACTTATTCTTCAAATATTAAATTTATATTTTTCGAAATTGATGAATTAAAAGATATTGCAAAATATTGATGAATTAAAATGTCACAAAAAATAAATTAAATTTCTATTTTTGAAATATAATTATTTTAACTATTATAAAATATAATAATATTATTTAATAATCAAATAAAAACCATATAGAAGAAGAATTTAATAATATTTCTGTTCATCTTTGACATGTATATTAAACAATTTCTTTTTAGTTATTAAAATAAATAAAACTAAAAATTAACAAAACTGAACTCATTTAAGTTTTTAATTTAATATTTTTGACGTATCCTCAAGATATTACAATTTTCTTCCAAATTAAAAATTCTATTTCAAACACACTGACATTAAAATTAACACATCAGGTTTTTATGGCAGCGATAATCAGCACCTTATACGGAATGGTAATGATCGCTGTGATCGTTGGGACTGCGATTAACATCGTCCAAGATGGCATATTGTCACCAACCGCGATGTTTCTAATGTTACTAATATCTCAGATAGTCATAACCGCGATACTTCACACCGAGGAGATGTTCTGTGTACTATACAGCGTGATATATTTCATTACCGTCCCATCAATGTATGTGCTGCTTATTATTTATTCAGTCTGTAATCTGAACGATATTACATGGGGAACGAGGGAAATAAAGACTAAGAAAACAGCTGCGGTAATTATTTATATTCTTAACCAATTAATTTTCCTAGTTCTCTATCCATTACTATTACTAAAAGTGAAAGGGGAAAAAAAAGGAATTATATAATTATTTTATAACAATTTTATAATTATTTTTTAACAATAAAAAAAATGTATATTTTGATATAATTAATTGCAAAAGATAGTTTTTGTAAAATTAATTTTTGAAATGCTACAGGAATTTTGAAGTTTTATTAAATTTTTTGTTCTTTCTGAGTAATTTTTTAAATTTATTTTTTTATATTTTAATCTCTTTATTATTTTACTCATTATATTATATTAAAATGATATAATTGAGAACACTTGTGATTTGAAATGATGATTTTTTTTAATCTATTTTGAATCTAATCTGAATTTCTTTATCCACATTTATTTTTATATATTATTTGCTGAAAACTGATATTACATTAAATTGTTGAATAGAAATTGAATTTTTAAACGGTTTGTAATGTCTCGAAAAATTTGTTGATCAAATTCAGAATGGTTTAAATATTATTAAAAATCATAAAATTTTTACCTCTTTTTTATGTATTTTGAAACGAAAATTCTGAAAAAAATTGCAAGATTGGTTTATGACAATATGTTTTACCTTTCAATAATTAAAATTTTTTCATTCTTTCTTAATAGAGTTGCTTCCTAACACAAATAAACAATTTTTTTTATAAAAATAATTATTATTTAATATTTAATACATGATTAATGTTAAACAAAAAATTTATGATACATATTTCTCACTGAATAGGAACTTGAACAAGAGAAAAAGGAAGCTGAGGAAGCAAAGCGAAAAGCAAAGCAGAAATCTTTGTTAGGATTTCTTCAAAATGGCGTAGGATCGAACGACGACGAGGAAGGATCGATAGAAATTTCCTTGGCAGGGTTGTTCAAATGCATGTTTTGCACTCATGGACAAACGTCCAACGAAAAACAACAACTCGTCGCCATTGCTCAATCAATGGAAAATGTTAACAAACGTCTGGAAATTATTGAAAGGTACTCTCATTTAATATTATCCTTCATACATTTTAGAATTTATTGATTAATTTGATCAATTATTTTAACAAAAAAATTCAAATCTTTAAAGCTTTAACTAGTTAGACATTTAAGACTGATTACAAATTGCTACAACTTTTACTAGTTATGAGAAAAATAAAATAAAATGATCAACCGGTTGCACTTTACGTGAAATAAATGTCATACGTATGCTGTTATGATCGAAACTGGCCAAAACTGGAATGAAAGATTGAATTTCATATTCATATATAATATAATAATGAATTTCATATATATATATATAAATATAATTTTACATGTAATTATAATAAAATTTATATTCTTCTGTTACAATGTTTTTGAATCTCTTCAAGAAGTAGTTGCAAAGAAAGAAGTAGATCGCATTATTTTTATTATAATTATTTTTACGATTTCACGATTATTTATATAATTTATATATTTTATAATAAAAATTTTCAGTAATTTTTTTTTTGTAATAACAATTCAAAGGATTCATCATATTAAATACTTTATATTTGCTACAATATATTTTTAATATATTTTTTTAATATTCTCACCAAATACTTTTATAAAATAAAGTATTATATATTTATTTTATTAAAATTTATTTTTACATTATAGATAGCGAATTATTTAGTTATCAGAAAAAGAAATCATGTTCCAAAAAATTAGAGAAAAATTATTCTGTTATTATATTTATCAAAGTTCATGCTCTTTTTGAAAAAAAATTTATTCATTAATTCCAATAAACTTTTATGCAAAAGAGTTATATTAATTCAAATATAACAGGATAATAATACAATTATATAAATCATATAAACTCAAATTATATTTCTAAAATAATATTAGAAAAACAAATATTTCTTAATTTTATTTGTTAGAGCTGTGGATCCTCATGGAGTGACAAGCCGACGCCGTGCATCCTCTGTTGGTTCTCGAGGCGACCATTTGGGCGCCATTGGCGAAGATCCAGCGGAGGGTCAAGACGGTCAAAGCGAACCGGAAACTGTAACTAGTCAAAACACGGAAGGCAATCGCGAAGGTAGCAACTTCCTTAGCAGACCTTACTGGCTGAGCGACGAAGGGCTTAAGAAAGGTGAAATCGATGTTCTGTCGATGCAGGAGGAACAATTTTGGAAGGATCTTCTGGAAAAGTATCTGTATCCCATAGACGAGGACAAGGCGGAGAAGGTAAGAAATTTTATTTCAAACACAATTATTTCAATATCTTTATTGTTTTTTAATTTGAAAAAAAATATTTTTATCTATTTTTCTTTCTGGTTTAATTAAATGTAGATTTTTTTAATAGTTTCGAGAAATTCGATATAGTAGAAAAAAAGTGTACAAGTTAAATTATTATTATATATTTGCAAATTTATACTATTTCTTATTTTTATTATTAATTTAGTTTTTAATAATATGTGTTAAATTTTTAGAAGAAAAGATTAATACTGAAATTGATAAAATTACTAATTTCATTTTATATACTTTATCAGATCGTTCTTAGAAATTTATTTCTAAATAATAAGTAAAGAATTTCATAGAATTATTAAATTAAGTAATAAAAATAACTATTTTAATATTCTTTTCAATTTTAAAATCAAATATTTTTTTACAGTATTTTTGTATAATAATTTTAAAAAATTTTCAAACTTCCCTAAAGTAAGATAGTGTACAATATATTTAAAAAAGAAGAAGACAATAAAGTAATAATAGAATTACAAAATTTTTTTCCCCGATTCTATTAACTATGAAATAATACGATTAAATATGAAATAAGGGAAGTTTTTAATAATTAATAATAGAAAAATGAAAATAACCAAATCCATGCTGCTTGTTCCTTACATACGTCAGGCACGAATCGCCAAAGATCTAAAGGACCTACGTGACCAGAGCGTTTTCGCGTTTTTTATGATGAACGCCCTCTTCGTTCTGATCGTCTTTCTGCTCCAACTAAACAAAGATTTATTACACGTGAAGTGGCCTTTTGGTATCAAGACGAACATCAGCTTTAATGCCGATAACTTTCACGAGGTAAACACCGCTCCGTCCATGTCGAGTTGTCCTGCTTCTTCGATATCTACTTCCCTTAAAAAAGAAAAAGAAAAAGAATTAATTTCTTTTTTAGCTTTTTGCAGCAAAACATTTAAAATGCTAAGACTCGCTCATACATATAAATATTAAAATATTAAAATATCGATTAATATAAAAGCATCAAGTATAAAGAGCACATAAAAGAAATTTGATTAAAAATTAAACACTTCATTGAAAATTATCATATAAAAGACGTAAGCATTCAAACTGTTTTGCAGCCAAAAATCATAGCGTTGTTTACTTTATTTTCTACATCGCTTGTATCCAAAAGCTTTTTAGATAATAAAATGACAATCTCGAGGATCGAAATGATATCACTGAGGATTCTTCTCCTCAAAAGGAGCCGATGGATCAACGATCGACCGGACGGAGCGTAATTTTCTTCATATCATTGCTAATCGATATTTTGTTTCTCTTTTTTCTCTTTTCCCTGATCAACGATCAACAGGCACGTATTGCCGGCGACCTAATCGAGCTACGGAACAAGAGCGTGTACGCGTTTTTTATGTTCAATACGTTGTTCGTTCTGATTGTATTCTTACTGCAACTGAACAAAGATCAGTTGCACGTTGTCTGGCCGCTCGGCGTTAAGGAGAATATCACCATGAAAGAAGATGGGGAGGTACCTGGTAGTGTTCCAAAAAAAAAAAGAAAAAAACAGAGATGCTGTCTCACTGATGCCTCGGGAGACTAACACCTCCGTGTGCTCCGTTGCTCGTGAATTTATTACACTTTTTTTTCTATTTTTTTTCCCATTATTTTTTTTTTTTATCATTCGTTATTATTAGAAATAACATACTCGAAACTTGGAAATTAAAAAGAACATGGGTTCTCGAATCTTGGGATTTTTGTTTCAATTTCTTTTTCGTTGTGACTCGAAACTCTCGAGATAAAATTTTGTATGAATATATATTTTGACGATATAAATTTTATTTTTGTTGAATACTAGTAAATATAAATTTTAAATCTCGGGTTCGTTTTGAAATTAAAATTGGTTAAGATTATAATTCTTGGAAGCAAATATAAATAAAAAGAATAAAATTAAAAGGATTATAATTTTTGATATTCATAGATAAATATTTCTTCTAATTTCGAGAGTTTTGAGGTTCATAAGTTTCGAAATCTCTTAAAATAAAATTTTTGACTCAAGTTTCATAATTATAAAAATTAAGTTTCTAACTCTCTAGTTTTCTTTTTACGTTATTATTCGTCGTTAAGACATGGCGATTTAAGAAAAGAAGAAATATTCGTCGAATTCGAGAGTGGATCCT